CTATTATTTATGGGATATAAAGCACTATTGTTCCTTCATCGCTACCAATGGACAAGATTATGTTAGGATGTTGAAAAATACATCTTAAATAACATAAGTTCTTTTTTATTTTATTTATTTATTTTTTGAGGCAGAGTCTTTATTTGTTGCCCACACTGGAGTCCAGTGGCACAATCTTGGCTCGCTGCAACCTCCACCTCCTGGGTTCAAGCAGTTCTCCTGCCTTAGTCTCCTGAGTAGCTAGGACTACAGGCGCGTACCACCACGCCTAGCTAATTTTTTGTATTTAGTGGAGATGGGATTTCACCAGATTGGCCAGGCTGGTCTCAAAACTCCTGACCTCAGCTAATCCATCCACACCAGCCTCCCAAAGTGCTGGGATTACAGGCATGAACCATGACACCCAGCCAGTGTAAGTTCTCTGAAAGCCGTGTTTGGGGATAGTGGTTACCATGTATGGACAGTGCAGATATAAAGAATCAGTGTGGGTCCAGTCTGGTGAGAGAATAGTTGCCAGTAATCCAAATGGAGAAAAGTTAATGTAAAGAATTAATTGGCTGGGCACAGTGGCTCACACTTGTAATCCTAGCACTTTGGGAAGCCAAGGCAGGTGGATCACTTGAGTCCAGGAGTTCGAGACCAGTCTGGCCAACATGGTTAAACCCCATCTCTACTAAAAATACAAAAATTACCTGGGTGTGGTGGCACACACCTGTAATCCCATCTCCTTGGGAGGCTGAGGCAGGAGAATTGCCTGAACCTGGGAAGCAGAGGTTGCAGTGAGCCGAAATTGCATCATTACTTCCAGCCTGGGCAACAGAGTAAGACTCTTTTTTTTTGTTTGTTGTTATTATTATTATACTTTAAGTTCTAGTTTACATGTGCACAACATGCAGGTTACATATGTATACATGTGCCATGATGGTGTGCTGCACCCATTAACTCGTCATTTACATTAGGTATATCTCCTAATGCTATCCCTCTCCCCCCCCCCCCGACTCTGTCTTTAAAAAATAATTATTAACTATTTAAAGGCGTCGAATCATTTGTCATTTGGGAATTGCAAATCAAGACAACAATGAGATCCTACTACATACCTATTAGAATGGCTGAAATTTAAAAATCTGACAATATCAGTTTCCTGGGAGGTATGTGATGCAACAGAACTCTGATTTTTTTTTTTTTTTTTTTTTTTGAGACGGAGTCTTGCTCTGTTGCCCAGGCTGGAGTGCAGTGCTTGATCGCAGCTCACTGCAAGCTCCGCCTCCTGTGTTCATGCCATTCTTCTGCCTCAGCCTTCCGAGTAGCTGGGATTACAGGTGCTCGCCACCATGCCCGGCTAATTTTATTTTATTTTTTTTGTATTTTTAGTAGAGACGGTGTTTCAACATGTTAGCCAGGATGGTCTCAATCTCCTGACCTCGTGATCCGCCCACCTTGGCCTCCCAGAGTGCTGGGATTACAGGCGTGAGCCACTGCACTGAGCAGAAATTCTCATTTCTTGCTGGTAGAAATGCAAAATGGTACAGCCACTTTGAAAGACACTTTGGCAATTTCATACAAAGCTAAATTTAGTCTTACTCAAAGTTCCAGCAGTTATACCCCTAGGTATATATACACAGCTGATTTTAAAAATTAAGTCCACACAAAAACCTGCTTGTCAATGTTTTTTATTTGTAATTGCCTAATAGTGGTGACCCAGATGCCCATTATTTGGTAAATGGCTAACAAAATGTGATACAGCCATAGAATGGAATGCTATTCAACAATTTTTTAAAATCGCCACTAAAAGACATGAATGAATGTTTTTGTTTTAAGACGGGGTCTTGCTCTGTTGTTCAGGCTGCAGGGAGTGCAGTGGAACGATCATGGCTCACTGCAGCCTCAGCCTTCTAGGCTCAAGCCATCTTCCTGCATAGCTGGGACTACAGGCACAAACCACCATGTCCAGCTAATTTTTTTGTTCTCTCTTTTTTTTTTTCCTCCTTTATTTTATCTTTTGATATTTTTTATTTTTATTTCTTGTTAATTGTTAAATTTATTTATTTTTTATTTTTTTGTAGAGAAGGAGTCTTGCTTTGTTTCCCAGGCTGGTCTTGAACTCTTGGCCTCAGCAATCCTTCTGCCTCTTCCTCTCAATGTACAGGGATTGGAGGTGTGAGCCACCATGCCCAGCCAGACATGGATCTTAAATGCATATTATTAAAGTGAAAGATGTTAGTCTGAAAGGCCTACATGTTGTTTGACTCCAGTTGCAAGTTGAACATCCCTAATCCAAAAATCTGAAATCTGAAATGCTCAGAAGTTCGAAACTTTCTGAATCCCAACATATAGTCACATAAAATATTCCACACATAACCTTATGTGACGGGTCACAGTTAAAACCAAGATCAAGGCAAGATGCAGTGGCTTACCCCTGTAATCCCAGCATTTTGGGAGGTGTGACAAGCAGATAGCTTGAGCTCAGGAGATCGCGACCAGCCTGGGCAACATAGCAAAACCCCTCTACCAAAAAAAGATAGCTGAGTGCGGTGGCTAGTGCTTACAGTCCCAGTTACTCAGGTGGCTTAGGCTGGAGGATTGCCTAAGCTTGAGAGGTGGAGGTTGCAGTGAGCTGTGATCGTGCCACTGTACTCCAGCCTGGGTAACAGAGTAAGACTGTGTCTCAAAAAAAAAGAAAAAGGGTCAAAACTTTGTTTCACACACAAAATTATTAAATATATTATGGCCGGGCACGGTGGCTTACACCTGTAATCCCAGCACTTTGGGAAGCTGAGGTGGGCAGATCACCTGAGGTCAGGAGTTCAAAACCAACCTGACCAACATGGAGAAACTTTATCTCCACTAAAAATAGAAAATCAGCTGGGCATGGTGGCTCATGCTTGTAATCCCAGCTATTCGGGAGTCTGAGGCAGGAGAATCGCTTGAACCCAGGAGGCGGAGGTTGCAGTGAGCCGAGATTGTGCTGTTGCAATCCAGCCTGGGCAACAAGAGTAAAACTCCGTCTCAAAAAAAAAAAAAGTATGTAAAATTCCTTTCAGGCTATGTGTGTAAGGTATATATGAAACATAAATGAATTTTATGTTTAGACTTGGGTTCCATCCCCAAGATGTCTCATTATGTATGTGAAAATATTCTAAAATTTGAAAAATCTTGAAAGTCTGACACACTTCTTATTCCAAGCATTTCAGATAAGGGGTACTCAACCCATATATTAATATGTGGAAAAAAGGAAACTATGATGATGATTTAAAAAGTAAAAACTAGTTGTTTCCTGAGAAGGGGAAGACAGAAGGTTCAATGGGCAATACACAGGATTTTTAAAGCAAACTATTTTCCATGATAACCATTAATTGTGCATACACAACACCAGTCATTGGTCAAAACCCTTAGAACTTCACAGAACAAAGAGTGAATGTGTTTTTTTCTTTCATAATTGAGATTTTGTTGGTGTGTTGAGGATTAGTACACAGACATTTCAATTGGTGCGTACTTCTTAACATACATACCGAAAATTTTAAAAAAAAGTTTGTAATTCTTTTTTAAAGTTATTCCAGTGACTTTCTAGCTTAAAATTTGGAGGCAGATTTTCCTTGAGGCTATCAAGTACCAGCATCTTCACATGTTGATAAGCTGTTAAATACACTTCTCCAATTCAGTTAAAAGCATACATACAGCATACTCAATTTTTCAGTCTTTCACTGCACATTAACAAAGTTATTAGGAAAACAGGAGAACCACAACCAAAGATGTTAGAGTGCGCACAGTTCTGACAGGGAGAGCCATTATCAAGGAGTGATTTTTTGTTTGTTTGTTTTTGTTTTGTTTTTTTTTTTTAAAGAAAATCCTGCTAAAGGGCACTTTGGGAGGCCGAGGTGGGCAGATCACAAGGTCAGGAATTCGAGACCAGCCTGGCCAATATGGTGAAACCCCATCTCTACTAAAAATACAAAAATTAGCTGGGAGTGGTGGCGGTCAACTTAGTCCCAGCTACTTGGGAGGCTGAGGCAGGAGAATTGCTTGAACCTGGGAGGTGGAGGTTGCAGTGAGCCGAGATCGCACCACTGCACTCCAGCCTGGGCGATAGAGCGAGACTCTGTCTCAAAAAAAGGAAAGAAAGAAAATTCTGCTAAAAAACTAACATGGAATAGAAATAATTTAAAGTATCCAAGACATTAAAATGCAAAAAAATTTTTTTTGATTCAGGACTATGACTCCATATTGCCGTTTTATATGCTTTGTATTTTAGGATATGAAAAGTAACCCCCATCTATGGAATGTTAAGCTGACAGCCAAGACAGTCAAAACCTCCCACAATTCAGTATCCCACCCTATTTTCTGGTTGTACCAAAAAATACCCAGTGAATGATTTCACCTCTTAAAAACAAAAAGCATTTACAGTTTAACAATGGGATGTGGGTGGGATTCCCTTCTTCTTAAAAATGTTTCTAGAGCTACTAAACAACTTGCATTTATACAATAGTTGATAAAAATATTCCTCTGGATTGTACTAGAATAGAGGCACCACTGATAATAGTATATGATATTAATCAGACTTGGCTTCTTTTTCTCCGGCTTCACCAGAAGCTGGACTCTTCTTGGTTTTGCTTCGTCCATTTTCTGCAGGTAAATCTATATTTATATATGATATAAATATATATAATTATATATACACGTATACTTATGTATATATTTTTTAAATAACGGCAAGGTCTTGAATCGCTTGAACCTGGGGGGAGGATGCTGCAGTGAGCTAAGAGAGTGCCACTGCACTATATCCTGGGTGACAGAGCACGACTCTGTCTCAAAAAACAAAGTTACCTTCATACCTTTTATATATAAACTTATGTTTTGCTCTTTGTACTTTTTTTAATCACTGAGAAGAAATTTTAAAGGTTTTTTTGGTTAGGGATTATATTTCTTCTATAGTAGTGATCATTTTATATGAAGCAAAGTAAACCTAAATCGAATTTAATGTTTTTTTTAATCTTTTTATTCAGTCTACAAATAAGAAACCTCGAAAATCTCCAGGTGAGAAGAGCAGAATTGAAGCTGGAATTAGAGGAGCAGGCCGTGGAAGAGCTAATGGGCACCCTCAACAGAATGGTGAAGGGGAGCCTGTCACATTATTTGAGGTGGTGAAACTGGGGAAAAGTGCAATGCAGGTAAATTTTAAGTTTTTATTTCATGTATAAAGCAATACGGTTAATAACTTACGTGGAATCAGTTAATGTATATATTGGCACTTTATATACTTCTGTTGATTACGTAAGCAACCTTTCAGTTTATCCTGAAAGGTTTTTATTTTGCTTTGTTTTGCAAAGAGTGTCAGGAATGGGTGTTTAATAGTAAGATGTACTTTTGTTTAAATTGTTCTAAGTAAAAAGGTCTACTAGAAGCTGCCCAAGAGAATTTTTATTGTCTTGATATATTTTTTTGGAATCTGATTTAGTATAAGTAACATATGTGTCTTTTAGAGTATTTGAAAGAAGAAAGGGTATAAAAAAAATTCTTAAGTAGTGAATTAGGAATAATCAGAACTACATCATTTGTAACTGCCTCCCTTTCCTTTTCCCTTTCCCTTCCCCCCTATTTTTTTGTTTTTGAGACAGTGTCTGGCTCTGTCGCCTAGACTGGAGTGCAGTGGCCTGATTTGGTCTCACTGCAAGCTCTGCCTCCCGGATTCACACCATTCTCCTGCCTCAGCCTCCTGAGTAGCTGGGACTACAGGTGCCCGCCACCACGCCTGGCTAATTTTTTGTATTTTTTTAAAGTAGAGATGGCATTTCACTATGTTAGCCAGAATGATCTCGATCTCCTGACCTCGTGATCCACCCGCCTCAGTCTCCCTAAGTGCTGGGATTACAGGCATGAGCCACCGCGCCAGAGATGGCGTTTCACCATGTTAGCCAGGATGATCTTGATCTCCTGACCTTGTGATCCACCTGCCTCAGCCTCCCAAAGTGCTGGGATTACAAGGCATGAGCCACTGCCCCAGCCGTAACTTTCTTACTCTTTTATCTCTTCTCATTTAGTCCATAAATATTAAGTATTCTGCAGGAGTACTATTCTCACTCATGCATTATAAGGATAAGCCATAATTGTTTTTCTTTAGTGTGTATATTTTTATCACTATCATAAAATGTGTTTGTTTATGTTTGTCTCTACTTTTTTAAAAATTTTAAAACGATAGAGGTGGAATTATTTGGCTAAAGGATATTTTTAAACTGTGACATATATGAACACTATATTTCTCTCCCATAAATTGTACTGTTGCACCTTTCACAAGAAGTGTACAGGAGAATTGCTTGGACCCAGGAGGTGGAGGTTGCGGTGAGCCGAGATTGTACCACTGCACTCTAGCCTGGGGTACAGAGCCAGACTCCATCTCAAAAAAAAAAAAAAACGGTAATTGTGAAACAGAATTACTATTAGAACTAAAACAGACAACTTTTCGTTAGTATACTTTCTATTTTTTTTTTTTTAACCTATATTTCTTTTTAAAGCCCTTAAGGGTGTTTAGTGTTTCTTTCTTTTTATGTATGTTACCAGATTGATATGTTGTGTTCAAGAGTCTTGGAATTTGTGTGGGCAGGGAAGGAGGTGAAATAGTGGGATGATGCTAAATGGTGAAACATGTATTGAAGTTCCAGTTACCCAAAGCAATGGATGACAATATGTAAATTACATAAGTTTAATATAAAAATAGATTTGTGACCTTTTGCCATTAAGCTTGATAATTTATTCATTATACTTCTGTTTTTGAGACAGACTCTTGCTCCATTGCCCAGGTTGGAGTGCAGTGGCACGATCTTGGCTCACTGTAACCTCCACCTCCCAGGTTCAAGGAATTCTTGTGCCTCAGCCTTCTGAATAGCTGGGATTACAGGTGTGCGCCAGCACTTCCAGCTAATTTTTGTATATTTAGTAGAGATGGGGTTTCACCACGTTGGCCAGGCTGATCTCAAACTCCTGACCTCAAGTCTTGCACCCACCTCTGCCTTCCAAAGTGCTGGGCTTACAGGCATGAGTCACCATGCCCGGCCTCATTATACTTTAATAGAAGAATTGTTAACAAGTTACGGAAGCATTAATTTTAAAGACGTTTTCTGTTGTTTCCTACCTTTAGGTAGAAATACAAGCAGAAAAATGAGAGAAGTATATTTTTATGTAAAATTTTAATAATTGCATTTCAGGTATTTTGCTTCTTTTTTTTTTTTTTAATGGAGTCTCTGTCACCAGGCTGGAGTGCAGTGGCGTGATCCCTGATCACTGCAACCTCCGCCTTCCAGGTTCGAGTGATTCTCCTGCCTCAGCTTCTAGAGTAGCTGGGACTACAGGCACACGTCACCATGCCCAGCTAATTTTTTTATTTTTAGTAGAGACAGGGCTTCACTACATTGGCCAGGATGGTCTCGATCTCCAGACCTCGTGATCCACCTACCTCGGCCTCCCAAAGTGCTGGGATTATAGACGTGAGCCACGATGCCCGGCCTTCCTTCGCTTTTTTTAAATGTAAGACTTTATTTTATCAGATATTTATGTAAAAATAATTTTCATGCATATTGTATTAAAGCTTAATGCCCGTCCTTAGTTTTAATATGAACAAACTCTTACTGTCATCTATATTTAAAATAAAACATTGACCAATAGGAGTCTTTTCAGTTTTAATTTACGGTATTCATCCATATTAGTGTTTTCTAATTATGCTCTTTTGTGCTGTGTCTCTTCTGCTGAAACTTTTTAATTTTTTTTTTTTTTTTTTTTTTGGCGAATGAGTCTCTATCAGCTAGGCTGAAGTACAGTGGACGATCTCAGCTCACTGCAACTTCTGCACTGCAGGTTCGAGCGATTCTCCTACCTCAACCTCCCGAGTAGCTGGGGTTACAGGTGCCTGCCACCATGTCTGGCTAATTTTTTTTTATTTTTTATTTTTTTGGTATTTTTAGTAGAGATGGGCTTTCACCATGTTGGCCAAGCTGCTCTCAAACTCCTGACTTCCAAGTGATCTGCCCACCTTACCCTCCCAAAGTGCTGGGATTACAGGCATGAGCTGTTTTTGGCTGAAACTTTTTGTTTCTCATTTTCTGAAAGATAATGATCAGTAGTCAGGACTCTGGTACCTTCCATAATTTGGTTTTAACCCACCTTTCAATTTCTTGTTACTGTTTCTTGAAATCTGCTTCATTTTATTTTTACTTTACTGTAATTTTAATTATTAATATTATATTTTTTACTATATTTAAAATAATTTATAAACTTTTGTGATTTTTTTTTTTTTAATGTGCCCGTCTGTTGGGCCCTTTTTTTCCTATGAATTTACCTTCTGATTTTTATTATTTGTGCAGTACTTCCTAAAATAGCTGGGTTATGATTTACTTAACTAGATTTTATTTGAATTGTTTGCAGTTTTGTTGTATTAAAAATAGTACTTCTTTAGACTGGGTGCGGTGGCTCACGCTTGTAATCTCAGCACTTTTGGGAGGCTGAGGCCGGTAGATCACTTGAGGTCAGGAGTTTGAGACCAGCCTGGCCAACATGGTGAAACCCCATCTCTACTAAAAATACAAAAATTATCCCAGGAAGTGGAGGTTGCAGTGAGCCAAGATTGTGCCACTGCACGCCAGCCTGTGTGACAGAGCGAGACTCCGTCTCAAAAACAAAAAAATAAAGAGCAAGATAATACAAGTAGACATCAGTGATTTAGAAATAAAGTAGGTATTTCTGTGGTTTGTATGGAAGAAAACTAGGAAGTGATGAACAGGATTGGGTTTAGGGCAGGGAAGCGTATACTTAGAGCCAGGAGTTTGGCTGTTGAGTGTTAAAGTGCTTCACGAAGAATAGGAGAATCGAATTGGGCTTATTACGTGAAGCCAAGGCCTAATGTGAGTCTCCCCATTTGTAAAGCAGGGTGAAGGGAAGTGCCAATAACTACTGCAAAGGCTTATGTTTAGAGTAATTGTGTATCTCAAGTTGCCCTTGAGACATCCAGTTTGTGCTTATTGTCCCTGTATTTATTAATAGAAGCTCCTTTAATATTCAGAAGGATAGTAGTTTACATGGCAATTTATATTAAAACATCACTTACAGGAAATCAAAAGCTGAGGAAAGGGAGAAGACAGACATAATTCTTATAACTGACACCTGAATTGAAATGTCTGTTCCTTTGGTTGTTGACTGGGTCTGTGAAAATTCCCAATGTTGTCTTAGGGAAGAGTCTGAAAATTCCCACTCTTCTCTTTTATGTGATCTGGTTCTGCCATGGAGGTAATGACAGAAACATAAGAGGGGAGGGATAAATAATAAAGTAATAAATAAGTATGTCAAAGATGCTAGAGAGATGAAAGAAGAAATTCTGTCTTATACAAAATAAAGGAACAGATGAAACAAGATATGAAAAAGGAGCAGCCTTGAAAATTGAAAGTAAATTCTTAAAAGTAAAAAAAAGCAGTACATTATGTTATTGAGGAAAAATACTGCTTTAGGTGCCATGAGAGAGAGAATTCAAGTATTGGCATTTATTAGACATTCAGTTAGAATGTAGCCCAGAGAAATAAGGAGGTAAGAAAACATGAAAGAGCCATTTAAATACTTTGGTATAGATTGAAGGGTTCCAGAATATACCAAGGGAAGAAATCAGAGGGAAGGAAAGAGATAAAGTGATTTTTTTCCCCCCTTCCACATTTATTTTAAGTTCAGGGGTACGTGTGCAGGGTATGGAAGTTTGTTACATAGGTAAATGTGTGCCATGGTGGTTTGCTGCACAGATCATTGCATCACCTAGGTATTAAGCCCAGCATCCATTAGCTGTTCTTCCTGATGCTCTCCCTTCTCCTATCCCCCACCCTCCAGCGGGCCCCATTGTTGTTTCCCCACTGCCCCAATGTGTTTAGCTGTTCTCATCATTCAGCTCCCACTTACAAGTGACAACATGAGGTGTTTGATTTTCTGTTTCTGCTTAGGTTTGCTGAGCATAATGGCTTTCATCACCATCTATGCAAACAACACGATCTTGTTCCTTTTTTTTTTTTTTTAAGACAGAGTCTCGCTCTGTTGCCCAGGCTGGAGTGCACTGGCATGATCTCAGGTGACTGCAGCCTCCTTCTCCTGGGTTCAAGCGATCCTCCCACCTCAGCCTCCCAAGTAGCTGGGACTACAGGTACAT